TTGCACCACTCACATGGTGACTTTCAAGATGATAATGCACACGCTAATCGTGCCATGATTGTGACCCAATACCTCCAACAGCAAAACATCCAAGTCATGCCATGGCCAGCAATCAGTCCTGAAAAGTCATTTGTCCATAAACTCTTCATGCTGTGGCCAGTCTCGGTCAAATGTATTTACAAAATTCAACATGCTGATTTCATGGGTATAACTAAGGCGAAATTTAAAAAAACCAACATGTTTTGAATACTCAAAATTTAAACGTTGTCACCCATGGGCAAGAATATTTTCCTTTGCTCAAAACTCATGTTTTTTTTGTTGAATTATATAAAGGTGTTTCTACAAGTATCATGACACATAATTTAACTAATTTGAACTTAATTGTGTCGTTATTAAAATATTTTGCCCATGGGCGAGAATATTTTACATTACTCAAATTCATGTTTTGGTTTTAGAAACACATAAAGATGTTTCTACAAGAACCATCTAAAAAAGGTTTGTAAATATAAAGACCAGATGTATTTAGATGTAGGCATCTAGCAGCTCTGTGTACCAAGAGTGTTCATTGTTTAATCAGAGTTACAACATTTCAGGACTCAGTAAAGCTTTCAAAAGTTTTATATTTGTAAGAGGTGAGGTGAGGTGAGGTGAGGTGAGGTGACTCACTCATTTGACATGTTTATCCCCACTGTTTGTTTGTTGTTTAGTTCCGCGCCACATTTAGTAGTTTTGATAGTATTGAAAAAGATAAAATCTGTGAGCATGAGTATATCCACGGTAAACCAAAGATCGTAAACAGGGCGATCTTGGATTCGAATCCACGTTCAGAGAATTCTGGCATCTCACCGATGTTCATAATAATTTTTTTTGTTTTGTTTGGCGATGGTTGTGTTTGTTTGTTTGTAGTTTAACGCCGCACTCGCCATTATTCCAGTTATATAACGGCAGTTTGTACATAATCGAGTCTTCACCAGACAATCCAGTCATTGATGTCATGAGCTTCGATCCACGCAATTGGGATACAATGACTTAAAACGGCCGTTGGCCTACATTTACCGAAATAAAAATAAATACATTGGCACATGACATGTATCAACTAAGTCAGCGAGCCTGACCATCCGATATCGCTAGTCGCCTCTTACGCCAAGCATGGGTCACCTTGTTCCCACTGAAGATGATGATGATGTGGTACTTGTAAATTTCACAAATAATACCATAAGTAATTGAATTACTTGTTACTGTAACATCAGTCTGTTTATTCAGTATCGCTTTTGTGATGAGAGGTGGATGCAAATTGCACAAACAACAACACACGTTAAATACTTTATCAATCAGTCACACAACAGTACTGTTTAACCACTCGTGACACACCGAAAGGGTATTTTACATCGCCGAACATCTGCACGAACAGCCCAAGGGATGGGGCTAGAGAGGCGGAGGAAACACACATATTTATTAACAGTTAAATATGATCAAACAGGTTTACGTGTTGCTTCTTTGAATAAGTAAGTAAGTAAGTGAGTATGGTTTTACGCCGCTTTTAGCAATATTCCAGCAATATCACGGCGGGGCACACCAGAAATGGGCTTCACACATTGTACCCATGTCGGGAATCGAACCCGGGTCTACGGCGTGACGAGCGAACGCTTTAACCACTAGGCTACCCGACCGCCCCTGCTTCTTTGAGAGGCATTTAGAAGTTGAAACAGCAATGTGTTAATCTGTATTTATCATCAAGTAAAAACAAAACATGGTTAAGAATTTAAGAAAAGAAAAGTACATTACAAAAATAAATGCATTGAGTAGAAGTCACAAGGGATAAGGGGCGGTGGGGGTAGCCTAGTGGTTAAAGCGTTCGCTCGTCACGCAGAAGACCCGGGTTCGATTCCCCACATGGGTACAATGTTTGAAGCCCATTTCTGGTGTCCCTCGCTGATATTGCTAGAATATTGCTAAAGGCAGCGTAAAACAATACTCACTCACTCACAGTGGAATAAGCTGTGTACTTTAGGCAGACAGAGAGTATGTCCAATCGTAGGTACAGCTTTATTATAAACAGGTTTACAGGTATGTGTCTATGGGAGAGGGCGTTCTAAGTTGTGATACCTTGTGCCCAATCCTTTTCATGAGAATAAAATATGTTTAAACTAAAAATACAAACTATAAACAGGTTAAAACATACACAAATTTACACAGCCAGAGACAAGTCTATACTGTATGGAACAATATCTTTCTTCACATGGAAAATAAAAATATCTCTTCACCAAATCTATAAGGCACTAGACATACACTAGATAGAATACTTCTACGGTCAGCGCTCCAAGGCATATGTTTCTTTTCTCAATCGAGGTCATATTTTGAGAAAATCCAATATGTCCAGTGAACATTATTATTCATAATCCTTGCCTGATGACCCATCCGACGCTGTCAGTGAGTGATTACGGTTTTACGCCGCTGTTAGCATTATTCCAGCGACAGCGCGGCGGGCGAGATCGACCAAACGTTATGGGAACAGTGTACCCTAGAGAATGGTACGCCCCAAGGCAGCATTCTGAGCCCAACACTTTTCACCATTATGATCAACGACTTATTCGAGGGAATACCCAATAAAATTCTAACTTCTAAACACGCTGATGCCGGAGCCTTCAGGATCCGCACCAGAAGCATAAACACGGCACAACAATTATCGCAGAAGGCATTAGACCATATTCAAACATGGGGCTTCTCACTACATGTTGACAAAACTACAGGGATAGTTTTTATACACAGATATATGCGCGCAAACACCCCAAACTAAAACTAAACAATAACCCCATAAATTTCCCAAACCAGAATAAATTTCTAGGACTAATCTTTGATAAACATCTTACCTGGGGTGCTCACAATAAAAACCTAATAAATAGATGCACTAAAGACCTAAATACACTACGCTGCCTGACAGGTTCGAATGGGTGGCCTCCAAGGAGACCCTACTGTCTTTACAAATAACCAATTAGATCCAAAATAGAATATTGATGCCAAATATACAACGCCCTAAACTCATCATTAAACAATAAACTAAACCAATATCCAATATCAAACTCTAAGGTTAATCACACGCACACAACAGGGTACACCATGCACATCACTGCAGGCACTAACAGGCAAAAAAAACCTGGATCTAAGCCGAGAACCACTAACAATAAATTACTGGGCCTCCACCCAGATTTCTCGCAAATCCAGCAAATGCTTAAAAACAAACAAAGCCCAAAACACCAAGCGGTAGCTCGAAAAAACCCCTCAATTAGTACCAATTTCTCAACGCATACTAAAATTAAAAACTCACCAACCTAAATGATTTAAAACTAAACACAACACCAAACAACCCTTTCATACCCAAACCCCTAAAATCGACATATCTCTCAACACAAAACTAAAACAATTAAGAAACCGACCCAAACACCGCTAATTCCACCACACTAGCATACATACACGAAAAATGGCCAAATTGGTGTCACATGTCATCTTCCCGAGGCAAGTGGGTTAACTGACTTTAAAAGTCAAGTTTTCACCCTTGCCGAACTAGGCTGGTATTATGGAGTTATAGTTTGGCTGGACTAACGAGTCTATGCGTAGTCTCAAAATCGCATAAGGAAATCGAAATCCGGTTCGTAAACTGTTGTGCAGATTTCGGTCGATTGCAGGATTTGCAAAGCATGTGCACCGCTAATTCGGTGCCAACAGATTTTCCCCAAATCTTTTCATGTTTTTAATCAAGGTGCTCACGTGATTTGATGCACTTTGCGCTGTAAGACCCGTTTTATCACAATATAGATATTAATCATTGATCAGATCATCTTGACTGGGCGCCGCCATTTTGCTTGAAGCAAATGCAAGTGATGCAAAAGGCAGAATCTGATTGGTCAATAGAAGAGGCATAGAAGGGACACAACTCGTAATAACCTACGATCGAGCCCAGAAATTCCAACCTAGCTCCCTTGCCTCGGGAAGATGGTCACATGTACACAGACGGGGTCCTCTGACCCTGACTCGACGGGATTCAGCATCCGCATCAACAAACCTACACAAGAAACACAATCCTATAGGCTCCCCAATAACCAATCAATCTTCACAGCCGAACTAATGGGGATAGTAACAGTCCTACACAACACCCAAATAAAAAAACCAAACACCACAAAAACCCTTATCCTAAAAGACTCAAGTGGGCTCAAGGCTATAAAAAAAACAAACACAAAAAACCCGTTCAAAACTAATACTGCGGATACTAAAAGGTCCGACAATCTCCGTAAACTAGGCAAAGACATAGAAATAGTTTGGATTCCTGCCAACGTCGGAGTGCCCCCGTAAGGAATACTCATTACCGGAAAGCGCACCTTAAAACCAAAACTAAGTAAGTATGGAAAGAAAAGAGAGAAGATCTTACCCTCTGCCTAGCAAGGGATAGGCTAGGTTCCCCGGAGCACCAAGACAACAACATCTACCACTATGTGTTGATCTGGCACTTAGTGTTTCTTGTATATCTATCTATCTGTGCAAAGTAATATCGCAAGCTATCAACTCCGTGTTGTCACTTCCTACCGAGAACCATAGGTCGACCGTGTGCATACATGAATATGCAAATAATCATTAGCAACGTCACGTGTGTCTCCAATACACGTGCAGACAATGCGTTGTTAGTATGTACAGAGGATCATGTACATTCGGTCGTGAGGACCAAATAACAGCAATCACTATCATCGGGGATTAACGTGCCCCTCTGTTACCCCATTTGGTATGTTCGTTTGTTGTTCAACACCGCACTCAGCAATATTGCAGCTGCACGACGGCGGTCTGTAAATCGAGTCTGGACCAGACAATCCAGTGATTGATATCATGAGTATTGATCCAGGCAATTGGGATACGATGACATGCATCAACCAAGTCAGCGAGCATGACAACCTAATCCCGTTAGTCGCCTCTTACGACAAGCATAGTCGCCTTTTACGGCAAGCATGGGTTGCTGAAGACCTATTCTACCCCGGATCTTCACGGGTCCACTGTTTTTCCGAACAGGAACACTTAACCATAGTGGTTTCAGTACCACTGTTATAGGAATATTTCACAGATGAATTTCTGTTTCTCATTGTCACAGCCTGTGTCATCATATGTTCGATCAGGCTCCAACTCAAGACAATCCGAGTCAGTGTCATCTTTTTTAAACCACGTAATTAACGAATCATCCGCCATCCATCTCCACTGTCCATCGACTGCTGAGTCGTTTGCCCCAAGGAAATACTCATTGTTGCCATCTAAAAGAAAGAAAGATGTAATGTTACAGTACACAAAAGGAGCTATGTGTGTATTTTTGGATTATCTGTACCGAATGAATTAGGGCTGGGACGGGTAACTCGGGTACCGGGTCGGGTGGGTACTGAGTAGGACTCGGGTACCCACAGGACTACCCGGACCCGTGGTTAGTCACGTGATATATTGTTTATTGACAAAAACTATCTAGAACTCTATGGTTACACTACAAGTCACTAAGGTTCGCATTTCTTTCAGATTATGCACACATTCCTTCTGATTTGTCATATGGTTGAATAAAGACATAACTTAATTCAACTTCAGTGTATGAATGACCAGATTGTTTAATACATGTATCTAAATACGTTTTGCCAGGGCTATTCTAAAAATCTTCCCAATCGGACATTTTGAGACATCTCCTGAGACCTGCAGTGGGTACCTGGGTAGTATATTTGGACTCGCCCCAGCCCTAGAATGAATTTACCTTGTCTATTATCATAAGACAATCTCTGCTAAAAGAAGAGTCCATTATAAGACAGTATAAAGGAATCACTATCAAACAGTGATGATACCAGGTGTTCGCGAAAAGGTGGCACCCGTCACAAACACATGCAAATGCATGTCAATTTTTCGGCTGAGGAGCACGAGAACATATGGTACACAATAGGGACATATTTGTCACTGTTTCGGCAAAATAACTCAAAATCGGGAATAGTCTCTTAAATGTCAATATGGTACACGGCAATGAATACCCTGTACCCAACAATGTCTGCGGTTGTTGTTTTTCCCATCACTGGAAAACGTTGTTTAAGATACTAGCATGTTCTTATGTGTACAAGTTGACATCTTGAACGGTGGGGGACACACCGGTAGCAGGAACAGCGCAAACGCGACAGTTTGAACCCCTCCCTTTTAAGAATGCTGGATCCGCCCTTTAGTTGATTTTTGTCTGATGGCAACTTAGAAAACCAAACACGGATCTTCGGCGTGGGGTGCAAACTTTAACAACAAGGCCACAACCCCCTTCATATTAAATATGAAGATATGACAGTTTTTCTTCTGACATGATGCCCCGGAGATGGTACGTAGGACCACGTCGTTCAAAGCGTTTTTATGGCGACAACATTTTTTACCGCATCATATATGTGTCTCTTTATTGTCGGCTAAACTTGTCAACAGTAGTGTAGTGTAGCTAGTGTAAATCCTGCTAGGGAACCATGCAGAAAGAAAGCAGAGGTACTGCAAACCCTCATGTTCCCTTGCAAGATGTTTGACGTTTGGTTGCTGGTGATCTATAGCCTGGGTTTTATATTATGTTGTCGTTTAACAATCTGATCATGGTATTGTTTTCAAGCTTTTCAAGCTAGTTTTCAACAGAAATCTGTGCACCTTTACGAGTAGTTTTACTTTCCTTTGATTGCATTTTTTCTAGAAAAGAAATGCATTACTTTTTCTTGTCAGTATATGTCTGAAAAACCGCTTACATGACTAAAAGTTTTAACTCACTAACTACTAACATCAATAAAATGTTTATAAATAAAAATATTGTTTTTTTTAAAGATATTCTGCAAAACAAGAAACGCAAAAGTAGTAAAATCGCAAATCTCTGACAGTTTTGCCGACATCCATACAAAATTAATACCAAAAATGAATTTGTCACTTATGCACGGATTCCGATTGATTCGTGTGGGAGGAATGAGGTTCAAATGTACTTCAGAAATTTGGTGAAAAGATGGAAGTTTCGCAACAACATAACCACGTGAGAGCATGGCGCCGAAACACCCCAACATAACATGCACATGCAACATCACTTGTTGGGCTATAACAACGTTAGGTTTTCATTTGCATGCCATCACAATCATGCAGCAAGGGAACAGCGAAATCATGCCACGAATGACGGAAGCCCAACGCAACAACGCCATCGACCGACTGCAAACATGAGAATTATCTTCAGCTGTATCCTGTATTTTTCCACTAGGCATCAAGCACCGTTACACGACTATGGAACCGTTATCAGACACACCGGACAACACGTGACCTTCCCCGATCCGGTCGACCACGTATCACTACTAGAGTGAGTGAGTGAGTGAATATGGTTTTACGCCGCTTTTATATCACTACTAGAGCACAGGACAGAGTCATACGACTACGGACCCGTGAAGATTCCGGGGTAGAATAGGTCTTCAGCAACCCATGCTTGCCTTAAACGGCGACTATGCTTGTCGTAAAAGGCGACTAACGGATCGGGGGGTCAGGCTCGCTGACTTGGTTGATGCATGTCATCGATCCCTATTGCGCGGATCGATGCTCATGATGTCAATCACTGGATTGTCTGGCCCAGACTCGATTATTTACAGACCGCCGTCATATAGCTGGTATATTGCTGAGTGCGGCGTTCAACAACAAATAAACAAACATACACACGACTACGTTACTTACGTGACAGAACCACCACGGACACTTCTACAACTACGGCAATACCAGGATTGCCTAGTATATCAGCGCAGGCAGTGAGGAACCGTTTATGCGCTAAAGGTTTTCGTGCTAGACTACCAGTTCGAGGTGTCATTTTGACAAACCTGCATCGTCGGCTGCGACGCCAGTGGTGTCAAGGTTACAGAGTATGGCCATAATTGCGATGGAGACAAGTTTCAAATTGGTTCAGTGATGAGTCACCTTATATACTTCGACGTGCGGATGGTAAACGTCGTGTTTATAGGCGTCATGGGGGACAATACAGGAACTGGACAGATTTGTGGTAGTGGTAGCGTGATGATGTGGGCGGTCATCTCCTACACTGATAAACCGACTTGGTGCAAGTTTTTTGGAATTTAACGGCACGACGTTACAGGGATGAGATTTTTCGGCCACATCCTTCCCGTTATGCAACAAGACAACGCCCGACCTCACACGGCAAGACAGCCATTTTCAGGAATCACAACGTCCAGGTCCTGCCAGGGTCCTCCAGGTCTACAGATTTAAACCCAATCGAGCATTTATGGGATACACTCAGTCTGGATCAACAACAACCACAGAACCTCCGACATTTGGCACAAGCACTGCAGGCAGAGTCGATGAACATTCTCCAGGCCACAATGGAATATGATTGCTTCCATGATACGACGATACAAGTCAGTTTGGGTCCCTAATGGTGGTCAAACAAGATATTGAGAACAGAAGACCTTCACCTTAAAAATCTACTGTTCCACGGGTGCCATATGGAACCTTGGTCGATGACAATAATTCTGAACAATCGATTACCATCTGATGATAATTCATATGGTATATAAAAAATTAAAGTAAAATCACTTTTGCGTTTCTTTTTCCCCAGAGTATATTTGGCTTTTGTAAACAATGCTGACCTTCTTCAACGATGTCCTCAACCACCGTTTTTCGTGCCTCTGTATTAAGCATGACCAGTTCGCCCCCCTCGCCCTGACAGACAGCAGCAGCTTGCATCCCTCTCTTCTTGTTTGTGTGGATCTTGTAGCACAGGTGTGCCCCCTCGTCCACCTGGTATCCAGGACTGCTGGCACAGGGGTAATATGCTGGCACAGATACAAGCATCATATAGTGGTTTTCTCAACAAAATAATAATAAGCAGGTCATTAAGAGATGAGGTGAAATTGAGTTTAACGTCACGCTCAAGATTATTGAACTCACCTACGTTTGTGTGTGTGTGTGAACGAGCGTGTGCGAGTGCGTTTGTGTTTAGTCTCTGTGTGTTAATGCCGGTTCTATTGTGTGTCCGATTTAATGCGAGATTAGTGCTCGCCCACTGAGATACCATGTCGCAATTTAACATGGATACCCTACTCATACACGGTATACTGACTCCGAGCCGACCAGTATTTGTTTAATCCCGTTAATGCCGTTAATGCTGTGAGGCGGCCAAGAGGTCGAACCACCGACCTTTCTCCGGAAAGGGCAGACGCTGTATCCACTAGATCACATTTCATCGGTACGATTTTGCAGCAAACGGAGTATAAGTTTTAACCCTTCACCCCCACCCACGACCATCCCCCACGCTAGCCTTGCATGCACGTGGCTATATACGTGCAGTAACATTGAAGGGGGCGTTAAACTCTTTTTCACCACTACTCCAAAAATAGTTAATATCGACCAGGACTGCTGGAAAGAGCCGCATTATTACGCGTCCTAGCGCGTTACTGTTATTTTTCTCTTGTGTCTGGGGAGGATGTGCACCGTGGACAAAACAAGATTTAGTTTGATAGAGGAAATGAAGATATAAGCTCCAGCCCGTCAGAGAACAAAGACCTAGTAATCCTTTTCAACAACAATGCCGGAATTAGAACGAAGCACTTGATCAACAATCCCGACAGTCTATAAATACGCAATGTTTAGCTAAAATATAAGGCGTCGATAATACTTTATCCTGCGTTACAGAACATTTTCAATCCCCCCCCCCCCCCCCCCCCCCCCCCCCCCCTCTTACGTACCCAGGGAAACATTGCTCTATTATTACTGAGTCTGTCAGTCAAGACACATACACATCTATTATCGATCGACGAAGAAGTTACTTTAAACTTGTCGAATAATTCAATGGAAAACATGTATAAACTTGTAAAACATAAAACACCTCAACTCAACAATGACCAGTGACACTGAACTTAGGCTATGTTTACAGTGCTAACTCGGCCCCTCAGTGGACTTATGGAATGTTTCGAGTCACGTTATTAAATTGATTAAGTATCGTGTGTAGGTGAGTGAATATTGCTTAACGCCGCATCAGCAATTTTGCAGCTATTCGCGGCGAATCGTGTGTAGGAATTAACAGTCGACTCAACATGTACTTTCACTATTTGTGCGCGGCTAACTTCTCAGAAGAAAACGAGTGACAATTTTAATCTTACCTTCCGGATAAGGTCGACCTAGAAAAAAGAGATGGCATATATGAGTTGGTCAAATAATATTGGCAAAGAGTGAAATACATATACGCGTGTTTTTTCCACATGCAGGTACATGTACACCGTCATTTCCGCAGGACTCCACTGCAGGTATTTTTTCAGTTTCTTCCGGACATGCCTCTCTTTCAGCGATCGTTTTTATGTGGAAATTACGGTGGCCCATAAGGGACATGGAGCCTGTTTTTCCATATTTTGATATTTCACTTACATTATCGTAACCTTTTGCAAATTAACACGATTTGTCTTACAAATATGTGATAAATCATGTGTAAAGAAGATATTGAATCGCTGAAAAACGAAACGAAAATGTCAAAAACTAAAATGAAAATACAGAAAACTATTTCTACCGCGGTGATAATATTCCCACCGCGGTGAAAACTATTTACACCGCGGTGATAATATTTACACCACGGTGATAATATTTACACCGCGGTGGAAATAGTTTCCTGTGTATTCATTTTAGTTTTTGACATTTTCGGTTTGTGTTTTTGACATTTTCATTTTAGTTTTTGACCTTTTCGTTTTGGTTTTTGACATTTCCATTTTTGTTTTTGACATTTTCACTTCTCATTTCAGCGACCCAATAGCTACTTAAAAGTACATTTTCCATGTTTTCGGATGCTTTTATACATGATTTATCACATATTTGTATGGCAAATTGTGTTAATTTGCAAAAGGTTACGATAAAAGTAAGTTAAACATCAAATTATTGAAAAACAGACTCCATGTCCCTTATGGGCCACCGTAGGAAATGCCCCGAATCTGTTAAGTATGGTTTTATTCCGCTCTTTTAGCAATATTCCACCAATATCACTACAGGGGACACCAGAAATGGGCTTATCATATGGTACCTATGTGGGGAATCGAACCGGTCAAGCAAAACATGCTTGACTGTGATTCTCTTATGACAAGGGACACAAAACGGAGGATCCTCACCTTTTAATAGATACTCATGGGTATATCGACTGTGGCCAATACGACATCACATGACACAAAACGACTTCGTCATATCTCGAATGGCAACCCAAGTAGGTATAACCTAGGGTTGGTTGTATAGCATGAAGTTTGTTTATACCTATTTGAGTGTTTCCTCTTCTTTTGCATTAGATCTTTGATGTAGCATCTACAACAACCTCAACATTGGCAAATTGACTTATTGATAATAAATTGAGGGATTGTTGTTTCCTAACACATTCTACAAGAAGGGAGCCAGAACGAAGTCGGGTCACACTTTTCGCATCTCCACAATATCCATGGATTGCTTTAGAAGGGGTTCAGTTTGATGGGTTGGTGATCTTTAGCTTCGATGACAAGGAATCGAGCCCAGGAATCAAAATTTGCAACAGTCTCAACAGATGAGCCTGATTCTAAATGTCTACGTTTTGAATCAGAATAATTGTGAGCCATGGTGAAAAGATTTATTTAGCAACCCTGCTCCCCAGCCACTATGGAGTTTCAACAAGAACAGTGTTAAATAGCACGGGATATCCATTATGCAAACACCGGGGATACAGGGTTGTTATATTCCAGCAAATACGACACGAATAGCTATATTTATCGACCAATTCAATGTCAGACTGGTTCGCCCTTGACAACAATTTATCCGGAGGTCAACATCACCAGATTGGCCCATGAGCCACCACCTTCTGGCATAAGCACCTAGGCAATTTATTCCATCCAAAATTGTGAATTCAGACAAGTTATACATGACCAAGACCAAAATATACATAAAATACAACACAGGTGTGCATATACAAATTTATGCACAGGGCGTGACATGAACAGCCGATTGATAGGACCGGGCCCATCGTGATGACGTTAGTGTCAATGTAGTGTGTTCAAAGGAACACAGTTCCAGGAACCAGTGCCGGTCTAATACCAGACCCACCTCCTCAACTGACACAGCGGCGCAACCCACGGCAAAGGGGTTGCCAAATTCGATCGCCTTTTTCGACCAGCAATTGAGGACACATTCTTATCTACCCCGGCTCGCCATGTAATCGTAATCAGGGTGATCTTGGTTTCGAACCCACGTTCAGAGCATTCTGGTATCTCACGATGTATGTCATGTTTTTCTTTGGTTTTGTGTTTGTTGTTTAAAGCCGAACACAGCAATATTCCAGCTATATGACGGCGGTCTGTAAATAATCGAGTCTGGGCCAGACATTCCAGTGATTGGTATCATGAGCATCGATCCAAGCAATTGATCCCGTTAGTCGCCTCTGACGACAAGCATAGTCGCCCTTACTATTTAATACGAAACTGGATATATACATATAAGTCAGAAATAAAACAAATATTAAAAGAATTGTATATGATATTAATATGAACAGGAATTTGGGATAGCTACGTCAAAATATATCAATATAAGATGGTAACTGAAAATAAATTGTCGTTTTACTTAAGGTTCAGATATACTTGTCAAGACAAAATGTATACATTTCGAACATGAAGATCCTTGTTACAAATGATCTTCAGGAACCCATGCTTGTAAGGTGAGGTGAGGTGAAATTGGGTTTTACGTCGCGTCCAAGATTATTGCACTTATATAGCGACATGCATGCACGTGTATGTGTGTGTGGCTGCTTGTACTAGTCCGGACTGATGCCGATTTATAGTGCTAGCTCACTGAGATACCATGCCGCAGTTTAACATGAATACCCTACTCAGACACAGTATACTGACTCCGAGCCGACCAGTCCTTGTTTTAGCCCCTTAATGTCGAGCGCCAGACAGGGTAACAACAAGTACCATCTTTTAACGTCTTTTGGTATGACGCGGCCGGGGATCGAACCCAGGACCTTCCGCTCTCCGGGCGGACGCTCTACCACTAGACCACGGAGGCGGCCCCATGCTTGTAAGAGGCGGCTACCGGGATCTGAGGATCAGGCTCACTGACTTGGTTGATGCATGTCATCGTATCCCAATTGTGTAGATCAGTGCTCATCATGTCATTTACTGTCTGGTCCAGACTCGATTATTTACAGACCGCCGTCAAATAGCTGTAATATAGGAGCGCGGCGTTAAACAACAAACAAACAAGTAAACAAAAACGTATTCATTCCATGTACTTTTTGACTTTGACAGGCATATACTTACATGAATCTACGTGAGCTACAGAAAAAATACTCACCGGGTAAGTCATATCCAATCCAGCCTGGTTCCTCTTCAAAGTTCAACACTACGATTTTCCCACCATGTAGACGGCAAGTTCTGTTTTGTAGATAGTAGAAGAAGGACACGCATGTCCAGGTGAGGCCACAGGTTGCCGCACAATCGGCCAGATGGTCGGATGTCAGTGTCTTGATTAACAGAAATGACGTAGGCTTTTGTTCTGTCGAGGAAACCGATAAAGATGAGTTATAACACTGATTGATAGAATCAGCCGACTTGATGAAATGAATGAAAAGAAGCGGCAATATCATGTTAAAAATGATATATATCTCTGCAAAACGAAATGCAAAACGTCAACGCCAGAGAAAGACCAGTTCCAATTTATTCGCCTGGAGAGAATCCTTTCGGTATAGGAAACAAATTCATTATCTTTATACTGCGTGAATCACAAACAATATAGAATCGATCAACGCTGCATGTTAAACAAGACCACACGAGTGTACAGACCAGATCACCTGCTTCTGTTTGGTGCAGCGTATTGATTCGATGTTTCGATCAAATTAGCCATCAAAATAATATATTCTGTAAAACATTAAACATTTTGAAATCTTTACTGAGCACTTGAATGTTGTAACCTTGATCAACAACTTTAAAGCAAGAGTCGTATGACGCTGTCTGAAGTCGTAGAAAGAACATGATCGATTGGACCTCAAAAGACGTTAAAATGTAGGCGGTTGTACTGGTTTCCTTTATTCCAGGTATAAACTCCAAATTATGGAATAAATGATTGTTGAAAGTTGACGCCATCCCTCTTGTCATACAATCTTGTAGGTAGTTTTGTTTGTCACTCTTTATGCATATGCGACCCGTTAAGATTCCAGGGTAGAATAGGTCTTCAGCAACCCATGCTTGCCGTAAAAAGGTTTCTATGCTTGTCGTAAAAGGCGACTAACGGGATCGGGTGGTCATGCTCGCTGACTTGGTTGATGCATGTCATCAATCCCAATTGCGTGGATTGATGCTCATGATATTAATCACTGGATTGTCTGGTCCAGACTCGATTATTTACAGACCGCCGTCATATAACTGGAATATTGCTGAGTGCGGCGTTAAACAACACACCAACCAACCACCAACTTCATGCATATGCATAATACACGACCTTCTCAAAACAGGATATGTCTGTGTGTTGCCTAACACTGCACAGCAGTACGCCAAACATACGACGGCAGTCTGTAAACAAAACAGTTAAGGATGGACCAGAAAGCCAGTCACATGATAGCATTTACTGATTTTATTGACACTGAAAACGATGCCTTTGTGTACAAGTGCAGAGATTCTGGTGGTAATAAGTGAAGAAAAACGTTTTAAAAATATGTTCGTATTTTGCAACACAGCAGGGCGCAGATGTAACATCTCCGCCGAGAGATTGATCAATGGCAACACAAATACAGAGCTGATTACATTTGAAAAATATGTCGATATGTACTTGTTTCTCCGGAATGGTAGATTTTTTGTCGTAAGAGGCAATGAACGGTAACGCGTGGTGTGGCTCGGTGACCTGGTCCATTCATGTTATCGTATCCCAGTTGCGTAGATCGATACTCTTGTTTATCATTGGATTGCATGGGCGGATACAGCTTTTTTAAAAGGGGGGGGGGGGGGGGGGGGGGGGGGGGGGGGGAGGGGTGTATCCGCCCATGGATTGTCTAGTCCTGACTCGATTATTTAAAAAAACACCGACATTTAGCTTGAATAATGCTGAGTACGGCGCTGCGTTAAACAAACAAACAAACAAACATAGTATGACTTCATGTACTTCGTTTTTTATGCATTCATTCTACATATTCTCTAGGACTTTGGGTGCCTTTTTATATTGGGTTGTGTAACTTTATTCGCCTTGTGAATTGTGTCGTCTCAGGATAGGTAGATGTTAAATGTTTGTGGCTGAGCGTTTCATTGTCAAACCATGTTCATATGTGACAGACAACGTGACTGTCGTGTGTCACACAAGCCTCGCCAACATGGGTGAGTGAGTGAGTATGGTTTCACACCGCTTTTAGCAAAATTCAAGCAATATCATGGCGGGGATACCAGATATGGGCTTCACATATGGTACCATGTGAGGAGCCAAACCCGAGTCTTTGGCTTGAAGAGCGAACGCTTTAGCCCCAAGGCTACCCTTACCGCGAGGCTTCTCCAAGGCCCTTGTTGACAGGAACATCAAGATAAGGTTAGAAGTCCAAGCATCCACAGTAATACACCATGTTACCAGCGGGGATCATTTACCCCTTTGTCGCTTCAGTGAGTGAGTGAGTGAATGTTGTTGAACGCCGCCTTGTTCCAGCTGTATCATGACCGCATGTAAATAATCAGCTCGACCAGGCAAACCAGCAACCGAAAGCATGAGTATTTTGTATCGAGATTTAGATTTTATTTAGCTACAGGTAAAAAAAACCCCCAGATTTGTAATATAACCCTCAGAGCATTTAAAAAAAAAGTAATACACCTTTCCACAATGTAGCATAATGAAGCAGTCTGAAGCCTAATTGTTTTTGTCAATTTCGCGGACAATCTATTTTTCAGATGAAAGCCCAGCTCCCATGACCACCCACCCTACCCTGGATATGAAATGGTCGGTCCCTACGCAACGCTCCATCCAATCGGAGTAGACGACACGCAGAAAGCTACGTTACAGATCCCTACCGCCCTATTCCTATCTTAGTGGCTCTGGCGACAAGGGCGGAGTAAGGCGCATCTCAAGGTGACTATGAGTGTTGTGTTCTACGAGTGCGGGGCGGTCGTGTAGCCTAGTGGTTAAGCGTTAGCTCATCACGCCGAAGACCCGGGTTCGATTCTACATGGATACAATGTGTGAAGCCCATTTCTGGTGTCCCCCGCCGTGCTTTTGCTGGAATATTGCTAACAGCTGCGTAAAACCATACTCTTACTTACTCTACGAGTGCGCACTACGAGTGATCGCGGGTTCTGACTCAACCTTCACGGCAAACAAATATGTTGAGTTATAATTCGGTTTGGCTACATGTCCTTTCAGATATATGTGTTCATTTTGAAATCTAAATGACGGGTAATATTTCAATTTCAAGTACAGTAAAGTACGGTTATAACGAACTCAAGGGGACTACTGATTTTAGTTCGTTATAACCGTAGTTCGTTATAAACATATATACAGCATAACTACAGCAAATAGTCGGACCAAAAAGGTAAGTTCGTTATATCCGTCAGTTCGCTATAAGCGTGTTCGTTATAACCGTAGTTTACTGTATGTATGTAAATTCTACATTACTAAATCTTGAGGGGCGGTCGGGTAGCCTAGTGGTTAAAGCGTTCGCTCGTCACGCCGAAGACCCGGGTTCGATTCCCGACATGGGTACAATGTGTGAAGCCCATTTCTGGTGTCCCCCGCCGTGATATTGCTGGAATATTGCTAAAAGCGGCGTAAAACCATATTCACTCACTCACTCACTACTAAATCTTGAGCAGGAGGCAACTCCACTTGAAACACGAATCCAAAAGCTTTGCCTGTAACAGTTTCCTGTATCGATCAATACCACGAGCAGACTTACATGTCTCACGAAGCATGCGTGTACCTCTTTACCGATACTGCTGCATTCAGCAACACCCTCTTAGTTACCACTGAATACGCTGCTTCACTAAATCTCTTCACAAAAAGATATTTAAAAAAGTTGCTAAATGTAGTCAGAAACACTCCTGAAACTCTTCACACCAGCTAGTCAATACTACACCACCAAGAGCACACAGACGACCGTTGTGTTTGGCAGAAAAGAAGCAAACAGCAAAACAAGATATATTGATGCAGAGTATAGGTATGAAGTCTAACAATGTCTGGAACGCATTACAAATCGAACGTGAAGTGAATTGATTTTATTTGCCAAACCAGTATCCGGCACGTTACAAGTTTACTTGGCAATCCTGAATCTTAAGAGAGTTATTCTCGTCAAACAAAACCTACTCGTGTTTAAACTAAGTCCCAGTTCCCATGGCGTGAAGGTATACAAAATGTGACGATTTGGGGCCTGACAAAAAAGTAATCGCTAAAATTAAATGGTTACAGAATATCTAAAGGCACCAGTTCAGCAATTGTCTGATAAATGTTGCAGTCAATGTGTATACTGAGGCAACATATATTGGCTGAACATTTCAGTCAGTGTGTACATTGCCGGAATTAATAAGTCAATACACATATTGACTGAAATTTTCAATTGATACACATTTTGCCGGATTATTGACATTGACTGAAAAATATACAATAGGAAAAAAGGGAAATAATAAATAAAAGCAGAGAAAGAAGGTTTAGCAGCAGAACAATAAATTGCATCATAACAGTGTCAACATATGTCCTCTGTAAAAATATCTGGCTGAAAGTGGCGTGTGGTCTATTGTCAGTACCCAAGTCAGTATCGGATATGACTACCATACAGTGACACAAGCTTGGCAAAGATGGTGAAGGGCGGCTTGTGGGACGTGGGGTCTGGACCAAGGGCTGTCGCAGCTGGACCAAGTCACCGGATGGTTTGGAAGTCGGCGAGGACAACGTTTCATTCCGGTAGCCTAGTGGTTAAAGTGTTCGCTCGTCACGCCGAAGACCCGGCTTCGAGTCCCAACATGTGTACAATGTGTGAAGCCCATTTCACGTGTGCCCCGCTGTGATAATGCTGGAATATTGCTAAAAGCAGCGTAAAACCATACTCACTCACTCACTATGGGAAAGGGACGGGCACCTGTCAAATTGCCATCGATGACCACCAGAGGGGTCCTGTGATGTGCAGTGATGCCTCTCCACACCATTACGCTTCAACCGCCGAATGCAGAACTTTGAACAACACATGATCAAGATGAAGATCTCATCCGTGAAGAGGACTAACTTCCAATACTGTAACCTCACGTGTTGTCTTGACCATGTGGAATGACGTGGCAGCAACATCGGACGTTCAGCTGGACGTCGTGGTCGCACGTTTTGCTCTCGGTCCTTTCACAAAGCCGACGAAAGCCAAGTATGCTGCGGGCTACCAAATTTGAAGTCTGAAACCGATTTCGCAGGTGAACCAGACGGAAATAATCATGTTGCCAAAGTGACGTTAATCGTGGACGCCCACAGCGTCCCTGGTGGTGGCAGTCCTTTGGAACCGACCCCTGAGTGTATGGTGTCACGATGAACACCAAATCGCCTGGCCACAACATTTTGTGCAATTCTGGTTTCAACCATTCCAACTACAAGCAACCGCATATTTGCTTTTCACAGTGAAAACACTTCAATGATTAACTGTGTTCTTTACTTGAGTCGGTCCCATGTGCACTGTTAATGTGTGGCGAATTTCCTACTCATGGGAT